ACATTCTGCGTGGAGCACTGGGTGTTATGCACAAAGAATGAATCATGGAACACTACATCAAAAACTAATGATGTAATGTATGGTGATTAACATAATAAAAAAATTAAAAATAAAATAAAATAATCAGTTTTATTATATATCATAAAAAAAACCAAAGCACTAAAACTTATTCTCTTACATCCAACTTGTTTTCAGTTCTTCTTTCCCACAGTGAAAGATTCATTTTTCTGTCTCATCTGAAAAAAAAGTAACTTTAAAATAAACCCCACAGCACTCTTAGAAACAAACTGAGGGTTTTAGAGGGGAGGGGGGTGGGGGGATGGGTTAGCCTGGTGATGGGTATTGAGGACACATACTGCATGGAGCACTGGGTGTTATACACAAACAATGAATCATGGAACACTACATCAAAAACTAATGATGTAATGTATGGTGACTAACATAACGTAAGAAAATAAAATTAATTTAAAAAACCCCACAACTGTAAGTATTTGATAACTCTCATCTCATCACAAGTGTCTTCCCCAAAAGACCCATAAGGACGCTTTGGATTTGTCTTTTTCTGTCTTAATTTAAGACCACTGAATTGGAAGGAAAAGCCCCAGGGATCTTGAAAAGGTCATTACCTCTGGAGGAGGGGAAAGTTGTGTAAGACCACTGCCAGCCACATCTGGTTGATGAGATGAAAAAGGTGGAGTATCTGCTCACTGTCCAAGCTCTTTATATGAATAGATGTGATTTGGTGGCAAGATGGTAAGCAGCCTGGATCCTGCTAGTGTGAATTCTGCTCTGGGAATGCATATGAAAATCAAAGGAACAAAAATTTTTAAATGCAATGTGGCCATATAAGAGGGTCAAGAGTTCCTTCCCTTTGAATATTTCACATATGTATTATGCATGAAGTAGCACAGTCATTCACTTTCTCCCTTTCTGACTCCTTTCTGCCCTCCTGCACACCTCTATTGAGCAGTGGGGGAGCAAACAGTACTTGAGAAATTGTGGGCCGGTAGTGCTCTCCTCTTTACATCTGTGCTCTCCACTCTCTGGGGTAAGCCTTCAGACTAGTAAGGAATCTGAGGGCAGCCTCCCCCATGTATACCTGTTACACCATAAAGCATCTATCTACCCTATACAAGTGGTGGGGAAGAAGTGGGGAAATCCCAATTGTAGTGATAGCAGGAATAACCATCCTTGAGCCTTGGAGGCAGGTATTTTTTATTTTTGCTGGTCCCATTTCACAAGTTTGATGTGGAAATTTGGGTGAAAGCAAAGCACATTATTCTTCCAACTTGCTTAATTGAATTCATCTTTGCTTTCCAATCTCATTCCTAACTCAGCTTCACTCTCTCATATCTCCTGTCCCTCACCGTGTCCTGTTCACAGGTCTCTCATCCCATCTAATGTTTGTAAAGTCTTAGAAATATAAACTCTGACTTTGTTCCCTTCCCTCTCTTCCCCTGTAGTATCTGAAAATATGACATCCTAGAACATTTCCCTAATCCTCTTTCAACTTCCTCTGCCCTGCTGTAGTGTTCCACTACACACTAAATTATTCACTTAGATATGTGACCATAGTCGTGGATTGCCCTCACTCTGGTGAGCAGGGAATTGATCTGATGACTGCAGAAAATCATTTGTGAAAAGCCAATGGACAACTGTTATCTTGATTGTTACCAAATGTTTATTATCTGAGTAAATGAAGCAAATGTAAACTATTTCATAACACATGGAGATCAATGAAAACTATGGGGTGCATATTATGTCATGATTTCAGCAAAATAGCCCAGGAAATGCAGAAAGAGGCCATGGTTAAATCCCCTTTGCATAGCAGTGGAGTATCAATATGGAGCAATGCTTTTGTCCAGGGAAGAGACATTCTGTCCACTTTAGGAAAGATCTGGCCTTGTTGGTGGGTGGAAGAGGACTCCACCCCCACCTATAGAACCCAAGACCTGAGGCCCACTTGTTAATTCAGTTAGGCATTCTGAGCCATCTCTCTGTCATCTTCCGAGACTTAAGCTCTCTAAAGTCTTATGCAAGAGAATTTTAGCATCATCAGCCACTGTATTGATGAATTTCAAATGTAGAAAGTAGATTTTAAAAAACTGGAAGAGAGTGGATGGAAGACCTCCATGTACCAAGCAATAGCATTCAGCACACTTCATGGTCTTGTCTGCTATGCTGTCATCCTGCACAAGTAACCAGAAATTCAAGGACTTGGTGAAACTCTTGATCTCCTCCAAAGACATGCTCAGCTTCTCTGTGATCACTTTGACAGACTTCTCATCCAAACCAAAATGGCTCTGGTAAAGGTTCAAGCACTTTTCCTGCTGGGGCAAATCAAAGCCGTTAAAGCAGGCCATGAAGGGGATGAAGCTCAAAGCAGATGATTTCAGGGCATCCAGCCAGATCTTCTCCTTGAGGAAAGCTCTCTTCATCTTAATGAAAGCATCAGACAAATTGGGCAACAGGAGCACAAAGGTGTAGCACTTATGAACAGGGAGCTCCTTCAGGAGGGTCTCTTCCAGTATTGGGAAATCAAAGTCATCCAGGTCAAAGTTGGAGACCAAGAAGATGCATGGCTCAGGCACTCCAATGTGGCTGAGATTAGCCAGGCAGTTGTCACGTATCCGCTGAAGCACTCTCTCCCTTTTGAAAGATGTGGGTTTGCTTTTCTCTTCATTATATAAATCATTGTCCACCTTGGTTCTAACAAAGTAGAACTTCTTGCCTATCTCCTTGATATTTTTGGCCAACAAAGCATCATTGAGGCTAAACCAAGAAGAAGAAATAATGATGAAGAAGTCATAGATAGCAAATTCCACCATTTCTAGATATTCATGTGGACGGAAATTGGGGGTTCCAGTTCCAGGCAGGTCCCAGAGGGTCACATTGGGATATTTGGGATGTTGATAGGGCGTTTTCTTCATGGTAGTCTCCACAATGCCAACACTCACAGAACCCTCCTCTTCATAACTAAGTCCTTGCAGGGCACTGATGAAACTGGACTTCCCAGTGCCAGATTCCCCAATCACAGCCACATCCAGGGGAGCATTCTCTGCTGCCATAAGTAATTCCTCAATTATGTCAGCCACATCTTTTAACTTGGCCTCTTTAAGGGCTGCTTGAAGTCTATCAAGATTTTCTGGAGAGATGATCCCCCCTACCTTACTGACTAATGTGGTGTAGTGAGGGACAAAGTTGGTGGCCAATTGCTGAAAATTCTTTCCTACCAGGAAGTCAGATATGAACTGATCCATGCTGGTTAACTGTGGAAAGTCTGTGGAAAAAGGAAAATGAATTAGGAAGACAAAAGGAGCAGCAGAACGGACACACAGTGTCAGCTGAAGAAACACAGAGGTCTCAACAGCCCATTCCCATTCTCTCACACTTACTAATGTTATTCTGATTTATTTTTCCTGATGAATTTTGTTTTCATGCTACAGTAGAAACTACTTGTTGTCTACTCTGATGTTTCCTATGTTACAAAAATCAGGACCTGTGGAATAGAGAGTAACGGTACTCAAAGACGTTCACATCCTGAACCTCGCGGAGACTGTGAATGTGTTACCTTGCATAGCAAAAGGTATTTTGGTGGTGTGATAAAGTTCAGGATCTTCAGATGAAAAGATTTTCTTAGATAACCCAAATGGGCTCAGCATAGTAACAGAGGACCTTATAAGAAGGAGACAAGGCCAAAGGAAGAAAAAGAGATGGGACAATGGAAGCAGATATTAGAGTGAAGATCCAGAATGTTGTAATAAGGACTGCAAACTAAGGTATTCAGGCAGCTTTTGAACACTGGAGAAGACAAAGAAATGGATTGTCTTCTGGAGCCTACAGAAGGAACCAACCCTGCTGACACTCTGATTTGATTTGATATATTTTATTTTATTTTTACTTTCAAGTTTTTTATTTAAATTAGAGTTAGTTAACATATAGTGTAATATAAGTTTCAGGAGTAGAATTTAGTGATTCATCATTACATAAAACACCCAGTGCTCATCACAACAAGTGCCCTCCTTAATACCCATCACCCATTGACACCTTGATCTTAACTCCTTTAAGATTTATTTTGGACAACTGTCTCTGGAACTATATGCCAGTAAATCTGCGTTGTCTTAAGCTGCTAAATTTGTGTTAATTTATTACACAGCAATGAGAAACTAGAGCAGACAGTCTGCTTTTCCTAAAATCTCAATATAGAGCCCAACACATTTCCATTCTACAGAAAGAATCAGTCAGGTCAACACATTGGGAAGCACAGAAGAATTGTAGACAAAGCTCACCTTCCATCCCTTGCAGCAAATATGGGCAGGACTTGTCTTTTAGGAGAGGCAGGGGCCAGAGAAAAGCCCACCAGGATGTGTGTTCTATAAGGGGGATAGCCAAGCTCATAGTCCTCATGGTAATAATCGCCACATAGCAACTTAATGTTCATTTGCTTCACCTCATGGGAGAATTTTGGTGGGATTTAGATGATGTGACAGGAAGTGGCAGAGGAAGTAGATAAAAGCTCTAATTTTCCCTATTCAATTCTGCACAGTCTTAAAATATAGATATCTGATTAAATCATGGCAATTCAAGGAAATCATTACTAGATTACTAGATGGGGTCTTTTATCATTCACTTGACTGAAGAAACTGTGATTTTAAAAATATTTATACCCATAAGGTTGTCTCAGGGACTACCAGTATGCTTTTACCAGTAAGGGCATGCTCAGTGCTCATCCCCATCTTACAAGTCCTGCAAGGAAAATTTTCAAAAGAGGGAGAATCATGACTCCCAAAGAAATATAAAATAAATGTATGTTAAAGATTTTATTTATCAGCTTACTTATGAAGGAACCAGGCGGATGATATTACTTGTTAAATGGAGAATCCCAAAAAGAGAAAATTGTATTTCAAGAATATTGAAATGGGACAAGAGTGCTGTATTCTAAGGTGAGGGTGGGAAGTCAATTGAACCTCCACAGACAGTGGCATTTCCATCATGTAATGGTTAGCACTCTTGACTCTGAACTTCCACAGACAGATTTTTATCTATATGACTGCTATGAGCTGAATGTTTGTGTCCTCCACTAAATTCATAAGCTCAAAGCTCTGGTATTAATAGGTAGATTTGTGGATGGTGCCTTAGTCATGAGGGCAGAGTGATTGTGAATGGGTTAGTGCCTCAGAGACTCTAGATTTAGAGACTGTGGAGAGTAGCTTGCCCATTCTGCCATGTGAAGTGATACAGTAATGTCCACCTTGGAAGTGAGCTCTCACCAAACACTGAAACAAAAATGCTTTGATCTGGGTCTTCTTATCCTCCAGAAGTATGTGAAGTACATTTCTGTTTATAAGCCACCCAGTCTGTGGTATTTTGTTATAGCCTGAATGGATGGGAAGAAATTCTCAACAAAAGAATTATTTTGCATTGCCACCAATTATTAAAACTCCTTGAATTTTGAAACAGATCTATGGTATGAAGGGCTAGATTGTATTTAAAAATGGCATAGTTTCCAGTGGAGACACCCAGTAAACATTCTGCTTATTCCAAATTTTCTTAAAACTTTCTCATAAAAAAAAAGAAGAAAAAGAAGCATCTTCAGACTATGGTGCTCTCTTCTCCAAAGAGGACAGCATGAGCAGCTGGATGAAATCTTACCCCTCAACCAGTCAGACCTACCCCTAAACCCTCCAAGCATAAAGCCAGTATCTCATCATTGCAAGTACAGAGTTTGCTCACTCACCAGCCCTGGAGAGAAAGGAGATTTCTGATGTCAGAGATCATTTATGTTTCTACTAAAATAACAAAAAATGCTGAGTCTGGTGTAGTGTCCCTGGAGCCCCTGGCACAGGAATACTCCAAAGGCCTATACTCCCTGAGAAATGCAGACACTGGGTCCTCCTGAGGTCACTGCCCTGAGCAAGGGGCTGGAGAGTCTCTGTTCTGCCTGGGTAAAGTGTGAAAACAACAGGAAGGATGACAGCCTCTGACTTGAGCCCCTCCCTCAGGAAGACTTGGCTGATGGTTGCAGGCCCACATTTATAGGACATGAAAGTGAAACCATCATTTCTCTGCAGAACCAGCAGTTTCAGGAAAAGAGACATAAAAGTGTTTGGACTTCAGGGTGTTCAAAGAGTGAGGGGAGGGCAATACCAGAGGCCGTGAGAAGCAGGTCTCTGATAACCCCTGTGAGGTCATCTAGCCAAGACTCCCATGGGAGCCCTGGAGGCAGTGAGGAAGGCTGTGAGCAAGTTTCCAAAGCTTCTGGTAAATGAGAGAAGCATTTCATTCAGAAAGGAGATAGACTATACCATTTATTTTTCTTTCTGTTTCATTTTTAGGAGCCTCGTTGCTGGCGGCCACTTTGTCACCCTTGGGCATGTACAATCAGGGGGTCACATCTCATGAACAACTTAAACTACTGGGAGGGGCTCTGAGGGAATTTGGTAAGCAGCAGAGAGGGAGATGCATAGAGGGGAGAATGAAACTGCCCTCTAAGATTTATATGGAAGATCAAGAGGAAAACATCAGAGTTTCTGCAGAAGAAGAACATAGAAGGATCTGCTGTATCAGATAAGACTTATTGCAATGCTATATAGTATCTAAGACAGTTGGATGCTGACACAGAGATAGACCATCTGACCCACAGAAAGGGACACACAGCCCTGTATAGGATTCAGGCATGTTTGGCATTCTGTTGCATGGGAGAAGTGCATGGGATGTCAGTGGGTATAGAAGGCACTAACTAGTAAATGGAGCTGACAAATTGGTTCTCCATATGGACAGAGGTTATTGAATCTCTGCTTATATCACTTATGATAATCAACTCCAGATGGATTTAAGACCTAAATCTCAAATGGGATCTGTAGAAGAAAATACAGCTCTTCTTAGAGAAAGATTCCTTAAATGAGATGATACATGTAAAAAGATACCAAGATGACAGCTGTATAAAACAGACTGACCAATATGATACCTTCATTAAAGTGAAGAGCTTCTCTTCATGAAAACGAATGCAAAAAGAGAGTTTGAAAATCTCCCCATCTGGAGGAGATAGTTGCACAAATATAGTCTTTAAGGATCAATGGAAGGAAGGTATTTTAAAAATTCCAGAAATCAGTTAGAGAAAGGGAAGTCATCCCACATGTACACAGGCAAAAGGCATAAACAGAACTTTGTCAGAAAAAGAAACATGTTAGTACAAAAGAAAAAAAAATAGGGGCACCTGGGTGGCTCAGCTCAGGTCATAATCCCGGGGTCCTGGGATAGAGCCCCATGTTGGGCACCCTGCTCAGTGGGGAGTCTGCTTCTCTCTCTCTCTCCCTCTCCCCCTGTGTGTGCTCTCTCTCTCTAGCTCTCACTCTCTTTCAAATAAATAAATAAAATCTTCAAAAAATAGACAAAGTACCACAGTTTAACTAGTAATGAGGCAAATGCACATCCATGTACTATGAGATAACATTGTACATTATTCAACTGGAAAATTTCCAAAGTCAGACAAAATTGGGTATTGGTGAGAATGTAGAATGATAGAATCTCTGAAACGTGGCTGCCGGGAATGTAAATCAATACAATCACTTTGAAGGAACAGTATGTCGGAATCTTATAAAATTGTACATTCATGCACCTCAGGACTCAGCAGCACTCTTAAGACTATACTGAAAATCACTCTGTAAAAATTACAGAACACATGTGGACATGTGCTCCTAGCAGCAGTCTTCATAACTGTGAAAAAGGAGAGGATAGGCATTGACAGAGAACAGATAAATAAGTTGAGCTACACAGATTGAAAGGAATGAACCACAGCTATATAGAGAATTTGTCTTTTAGCATAGTGTTGAGATTAAAAATATTAAGAACACATAGAATTCCCCTTAAATAAAGCTTCAAGAAAACTAAACAAAATATACTGGTTAGGCATGCATATGTAAGTGATAACACCACAAATAAAAGAAAGGAATCACAAACATGTACTTCATGAAATTGTTACCTGGGGCTGTATACAGAACTGGAGTGAATAGGAACACAGAGGGTGGTATAAATCGTTAGAGATGTTCTATTTCTTGGGATGATTGTTCAGTGTGTAGGTGATCATTGTATTACACAAGTAAGTAAAAGATCTAAAACAGAGAAATATCTCAGTTCTTTCAGAATGTTGCTGTGTATATTCTTCTATATGTACTCAGTTCTGAATCTCCCCCTTCTGCCATATTTTGGGGACATCAGAGAAATATTCTCTGCCTGACATACAGAGACAATCACTGCTATGATGGGAGAAAGACTGAGAAATCATTCAGGGAGGAGGCAGGGGACAAGAGAAACTGAAATTCCAGGTAGAACCAACTGCAAGGCAAAGATGCAAGTTCACACATGAGCTTGACAACTGGCTGTGGATGCAAACAAGCACACAAAGACAGCCAATTACAGCTCTCAACAGTAAGGTAAGAAATACTTCTGAGTCTCAGGTACTCTGGCAGTGATGGGGCTCTTTGTAGTGGAAGACAGAAAGCTCCCATTCAGGGGCTCCCCAGGGCTGGGTTGCTCCCCATCAGTGTGTGAGAATCACTCTGGGGCTGCTCCGTTTGGTTGGCTCTGGTTTGCAGTGTCCTCAGCATCCAGTGGGCTGGGGCCTGATGCCCCAGTATGCTCACCACAGGGTCCAGAGTCAGACTTGTTGCTTCTAAGTTAATGTTAGGAAATCAGGAAGTATGATTAACAAGGACATTATTCCATTCCCTCTGTTTAAAGGAAAGGAAAAGCAATTCTTAGGAAGGAATGGCTTAGGAAATCCCTTCTCTTCTGGTTCCACTCAGATGAGTAGAGGTCCAGTCAGTGTAATATACAATCTCCAGACTCTTGTAAAATAGAAATCTCCCCAGCCTGGTTCAGACCCTCCTCCAACTCAGTGACAGACCTGCAGCCAGGACAGGAAAGGTCAGCTTCTCTCCTCTTTCTTCCTCCCCCTGCCCCCATTACATGGAGGAGTGTGGAGTAGGAGAACTACAAAGGTAGGAAGGGACACACTCAGGTAGGGCATTTGCAATCCAGCTGATGGTTTGGTGGCAAATATTATATGTCAGGGAGGAGGATCCAAAGAAGACTCATGCTGATGTCCCCACTGGGATCTTGGGCCAGGCATGGTCCAGACCTGCCAGGCTTCTACCTCCTCGGTAGTGTCAGGAACAGAAGGGCAGCTCCACCTCTTTCTCCTCAGATCATCCTACCCATGAAGACCATATGTAGCCCTCATTGTTGGCCATGTCCCTTGTAACAGGCTCACTAAAATGATCCTTGCCTTCCCTCTCTACAACCTGTCAGCTGTCTTTTCATGACCCAGGGGAGGAATCAAGGATGGCAATGACAAATTCACAGGGTCTTAGGCACAGACATTGTCATGGACATTTGCAATCTTGGCAGAAACTTATAAAACACCATCCTTATCACTCTGTAGCAGTCAGACTGCACCCTCCCTAGGGCCTCTTCTGACCACAATCACAATAGGTGGCTTTTCCTTCTGCTCTCTCATGAGAATGAGGACATGACAATCACTGAAAAGTTAAGCAGCTGCCCAGAGTCACCCAGACAGTAGTGAGAAGTGCTGGGCTCAGATCCTCACATGGTTGAGGCAGGTGCATTGACTTCAGGTGAGGTCATAGCAGGGGTCAAGAAGATTACATCACAGTGGATGTACCTTCTGCACTTTGATCTCCATGGGTGGAAGTGAGTTAGCCCCTGAGCTGGGCACTCTGAGCAACCCCAAGGAGCAACTCTACAGGGGCTGAATGTGGACTTCTCACTAGTCCGGGTGCTGACACTGGAGGAAGAATCTCAGGTACGAGGCAGAACAACTAGTCTCAAAGCACCTCCACCCTCCCCTGGGCCTCTGTGCTGAAGGCACACAAATAACCCTGCATAAGCCTCAGACAGATGCTGCAGGAGCCCCACCCTCCAGAATGGAGAAAATGGAGCTGGTTCTACACCATTTTGAGAACTGGAGACAATTACAAGAATAGAACCTGAAAGTGGCCCTCCCAGATTTCCCAGCTGCTGGGGCTGAGTCCCTGCCACCAAATTTATCCAGAAATCACACACCTCCAGCACCACTTCCCACCTTCTCTCTAGGCTCTTCCTAGGACAACCACAACCCAAAACAACTTGCTTCCTTCCTATTGGAGGATCCTGGGCTGGAACTAGTTTTGGACTATCCCAGAGGGAATTGTCTCTTCCTAGGGCTAGGCCCTTCCCTAGGGTGGGGTAACTTGCCAGGAAGACCACTGACATCTGCCTGATCACAGTCACCCTCTGCTTCCTGGAGCAGGTTAAGTGAGAGAGCCCTTACAACCCAACTTGGCTAATAACTCTGCTACTGTGAAGACATGAAAGGTGGAGCCTGACACCAAAGCAGGAGAGCTTGGGGACTGGCTTATCCATTTCAGTGACTAGTCACAAATGGGACCCTCTATGACATTCTTCAGGGACAAAATAACACCCAAACTCTTTGGCTGCTCCAAACCCATCCAACCCTCCAATGTGGAGGTAATGGACCTATCACCTTCCTGTTCATAGCACTGGGGGTCTTCTGATGGGGACAGGGTTGGAAAAGGACAGCAGCATTTGCCATTCATATTCTTTCAGAGCCTAAGTAGGATGTAGGTCAATGACAATTTCTGGGGTAACCTGGAATTGGGAGAGTCTATCTGGAACACCAGATAGACCTTATGTGGATTAGGGACTAGGGGTGGGGTTTCAGGGACAAGGTGTTTAATAGGCCTTAGACAATGTGTAACAATGCACAGGTGTATCTGCATTGGAAAAACTGTCCCTATTGTTGGACACCAACTGCATCCTTAACCTTAGTGAGGTGGACTCTTGAAATACTTTTTCCCAGACCAGATCCTTTTATGCTTCATGCCCATTGATGATGCAGATGTTTATTATACTTTCCTAGAATAAATCAATATGTTGATTTTTTTCCTCATCCTTTCTCTATGATGGTAAAATGGGGGTAATTTGGGGCTTGGTCCACATTGTGTTCAAACTATTAAAGTCCTTGATGCCTTAGATTTCTAGTCTGGTCTGAGGCTGATCCCTGCCTCATGACTCAAGATAATTGGGCATGACATGAACTATATAGGATCCCCCATGGGAAATCCACTAATGAGTGTTTTCCTTTCTGCTCCTTAAGTCATGAAATCTATTTGGTGCATTATAACAAGAGTTCAAAAAAGTTACCTATTGGAATAGATGCAGTAGAACAAAATGGAGCATAGGCAAACTGTTGGTAAAGTCATTGTTCAGATGTATGCATGTGTGTGCAAGCATGTGTGTTCAGTGTGTACTTAGTTCCTAAATGAAATGCATCTTTTATGGCTGATCTCCTTCAGAAGACTTTGAAAGATCTGCTTGCAGGGTCTGGTTCTCTTGCAAGCACAACTGCCCTCTCTAATTGAATCTGCTCTCTGAGCTCCCTCTATAAAGGCCTATGTTTCTTTACTCAGGGACCCTCAAACCGTGTTCAGATAGAGGAGATCACAGGTATAACATGAGAAGGATCTGCAAGTTGGGAGCTTGGGGAGCCACTTGCTCCCTGGGCTGATCTCTGATGGCCTCTCCTCAACCTCTGGGTCAGTGTCTTAGAGGCTCACACACAGCAATACCTGTACATGGACCACTCCTGTAAGACTCTGCAAACTCTCACAGAGTTACCCATCTCCCACTCTGACCTGGCAGTAACACATGGGCACAGTACTGTCTTAAAAAGTCTCATGTATAGGGTTGTCTAGTACTAGGTGCAGGGCAGGGACCAGATGATCAGATATCAGGGGGCAAGAATCAGTCCTGGGGCTGTAGGGCCCCAATCACCCCCTCCAACAGGGCTCAGCACAGGTTCAGGTGAGTGGACATGTGCAAAATCCATGGTTGGGTCAGACACAGTCACAGAAATGGTCTGGAAAAGTGTAGACTAACCTGCCATTCCCATCCTGGACAGAAAGGGTTGTACCCTGCCCCAGCCTCTACTTCCTTTCCAAAGGGGTGTGTATGAGCTGGATTCAGCATTTCACATGACGGATTTAGGAAGGAAGATTAATTGATCCATCAACAAGTAAGTGAAATGTATGCAATGGTATATTGTGCTCCATTTATCTAGCAGAAATGTGTCCTATATTTGCTGGGTGCTAAGGGCATCAGGCACAGTCTAGGGAATTGTTTATTGTAAGGGCAAGACCTGCATGTGTATTTTCATGATACCAATACGGGATGAAACATGACTGTCTTGGACTTTAACTTTTTGAAGACACAGGGTTGTTTTCAATTGATCTAGCACATGGGAAGTCAAGGTGAGATGGGTTCATGTGGAGGTTGTGATGGGATTTAGACATACCAGGAAAAGGATTCAAGGGCTCTAGCCCAGGTCTTAAGTTCTGGCTGGCCTGTCCCCACAGGACAACTAATAAGGTCATCCAGCCTTCCCCATCCCATATTAGGGGCAAACTCATAGGCAAACAGAATACATAGCATGCTCAGGGACAGAAGAAACCCCTTCACACAACCAAGTCAGTGAGCCTGGAACTCACCCAAGAGATTGTCTCCCTGGAGCCAAGATGGCAGTTCAGGTCTCCAGAAACCTCTATGTACCCCATAAACAAGAACCCAGGTTATTGTTAAGAATGGTCAAGAGAGGTCTTAAAGAAGGCTTTGAGTACAAGGGTAAGGGAGGGCTACTG